GCATCCGGTGGCTTCTGGGTGGTTTATCAGTCGGTAGGTTGTCATTTTCTTTTATGGGCCCGGTGGACCCAGTCCCAATATAGCCCATCATGTTAGGTTGCTGTCAGCTAAAGGGGTGGTAGTAGGTGGTTGAGGGGACACATTAAAAAGGATTTTGAGGAATCGTTTAATTGTCCCTCTGTTTATTACTATTATTATATTTTTCTTATTTCAAAGGATTTATTTTCCTCTTTTCCCTATTTATTGATTTTTTCTTTTTCAGAAAAAGAAGTAGCAGATATTACTATTATTACTATGCTACATAAACGTTGCTTCACGTACCATTCACATATATTTTTTTTGTGTGTATTTTGTTTATTTAACTGTTTTTTTCAATTAAAAAACTATAGATAAGAATCTAAAAATACGAAATAAAAAAAAAAGGAATTGAACCCACATACACATTTTATCTAAGAATTTGAAAGAAAAAAAAAAGGAATTAGTGTAATAGATGATACCAGAAGAATATATTTGTCTTGATAAAGTAAAAATTGTTCAAAAAAAAAAACTATCTAATTGTAAATAACACAATATGGATATATCAAATTAAATGTAATTCAGAGTGTGGTTGGCAATTCAATTTGCAAGTATAATTGTAATTGAACACTTTTGTAGCCCTCGAAGAATTTAATAAAATTAGATGTATAAAGTCATAAATAACAATAAAAATAAAAAGATCATGCAATATGAATAATTAACAAATAGGAAGATTTAATAAAACATATCCTGACATGACCATACACAGCACTCTATTATTTTATCTGATTTTTTAATAAATTAAATGCACAATATACATCTAGCCTCAATTTAAATTCTATAATGTTATGTTGACGTAGCATATAGTATTGGATATGAAGCTTGCTCATATTCAAAAATATTTAAAAAGAAAATATAGCAAAGCTACTGAAAACCCATAAAACTCTTCTTTTTTTTATTCTTAATCTTATTCTTGTAAAAAATATTAGATATTAATTAAAATATTAACAAAAGTAAAAATATTTAATATATAAATAAAATATGTTAGACTGGTCAATTTAAATCATTGTTTAACTAGTTAGCTAGAATTCTTATTAAATTATGATAGATTGAGATGTGTGATCTCCTTGTTAATATAAAGATTAATATATTTAGAATTTTAAGAATGTAATTCCATCAATAAAAGTTGTGTATTGTTTTCAATAATTGATATCAAAAACTAAGTTAATTTAAACTAAATATAACAGTGAATCATTCATTTCCACTATATACTTAAAATATAACCCATTCATGTTTTCTAACGAGATTAAAAGAGGAAGCATGGTTATGCCCTTTCATGAGTAGTCCTTTTAATGAGAATTTTTTTTTAATGTTTTTTTTTATTCAAAATTTTAGATTGTTCTCTCAATTTTTTTATATGATGTTCTTATTCTTTTAATTTTTTTTTTTTTTTAGATTGTTCTCTCAATTTTTTTATATAATGTTCTTATTCTTTTAATTTTTTTTTTTTTGCATTTGATTTATTAAGATCTAACCTCTGTCATTTTTTTCATAATTTTTAGACCCGATCCAGGATAAGAAACAATATCAATTCTTGAGTTGAGCAGGTTGACTCAAGTTAACCCAAGTCAACCAAGTATTTTTTTTATTTTATAATAAGTGGAAATGATGTCATTTAAAAAAATAAAATAAAATAATAGTAAACAAGTTTTAACATGTTTTTGAATTGAACTGTCTCAGGTTAACGAGACATAGGTCAAATCAGGTCTTTTAATCGTTTTATATTGGATCAATTCTCCCCCAACCCCTTTTAAAACTCGAATTAGCTTAAGCTCCGAGTCACCTAGGTCATGGGTGTTGGGTCGATCTAGGTTTTAAAATAATGGCTTTCTAGATGAGATGCTTTTTATTTAGTCACTAACTAGGATCATGAATTTGAAAAGTTGACACAATTTTACATCGTTTTTTTTCCTATTACATCCCTCAAAGTTGTTTGTTATGTGTAATGAACTTTATTATTTTATTTGGTTTGCTTCCAATCAGGTTATCTCCATCTCACGATCTAGAAAAAAAGTTTAACAAGGTGACCCAAATTTTTTTTTAGATTTCTTTTTTTTTTTATCTTTTTTGATTTTGTCCTTTAGAAATAAGTTCCTTTTAAATTAAGCTTCATCTTTTTACTTATTTTTCTTTCTATTAGATTATCTTGTTTGTGTGATCCTACTCTCAAGTTTTGGTTGCCTCACCCGGGTTTGTTATTAATTTTTTTAGACTTTTGTTTATTCATTGATTTTTTTTTTTGTTTTGTCTTTCAACGTTTTAATTCTTAAGGATTGTTAATAGTTTTTTTTTTTAATTCTCTTTTTATAATGTCAAGTCGTTCATATTTTTCTTTTTTAAAATACACTTACAATGTTTAAATATTTTTTTTATACATTACAAAAAAAATTAGGCCGAGCCATGGCAAAGCACAAGCAAGCTTTATAGTTATTATTATACAATAGAGGTTAAAAATTGAGGGGTTATAATTTAGGTGGGCATATAATATTCTGAAATTTGTTTCAAACTTTTACCCTAACATATTATTATTATTATTATTATTATTATTATTATTATAAGAGAGGATCAAATTTAATATTTCTTAGGAAAATTAAAAGAAAAATATAAAACACATGGGGAAAGTATTATACACAATGTGATTTACTGTAAATTGAAATAATAAAATTATGTTTTTGCCCTCTTGAACAAAATCTAATAGCCTTGCACTGAGGGTTATTATTGTCTTTTCACAAAGTCCATTGGGCATTATGAGATTTATTAGGGGCAACTAGTTTTTAATTGTTTGCACGGTATAATTGCTTAATTGTTTTTGCTAAAAAAATATTTAACATGGGTCAAGCTTTAAAAAATAGCATTCTTTGGTGTTTTTCAATTCATCACAGCGAGACTTACCTCTCTAAGCGGTGCATGTGATGGATTTCCCTTTGGTTTATTGTCATTTGACGTTTTATTTTCTCTCTTCTCCTTGATTTCCATGCCTCACCTCCAAAATTTTTAAAAGAATCCTTCATTTTTTTTTCAGATTTAGTTTATATTATTTCATTTGAATTATTTTATAGAATTGAAATTTATTTTCAATTTCTTTCTTATTCAGTTTTTTAATATGACAAATTTGATTCAAATTCTTTTTATTGTTATTTATTTTTTTAGATCATTTTAAATTTCTTTTTCACAATTTCATCCTCCATCTTTTATTTCAATTTTTTTTTGTTTGACAAAGTTTTTGAATTGATTTTTTTTTTTATGAATCATTCAACATTAAATTAAGTTTTTTTTAGCTCATGTCTAGGATTTAATAGGTTTGGAATTTGGAAGATTAACCACAATTTAGAAGATTCAACTAGACATTTGTGTTTTTTTTCTAACTCATATTTTTTCAGTTTCATCTTTCAATATTTAATTTAATTAGAAATCAGGCTTCGTTATTTTTTTATTTTTTTCTTTAGACTTTCACTAATTTTAAAAATGACCCGAGTTGTCTTGGATCTCTTTATTTGTTGTTATTTGTTAAATTTAACTTTTTAAAAAGAAATTTAGTTCTCTAGTTAAATTAAATTATTTGCTTAAATATTAGCATGATATGCTCTCCTCATCATATTGTTTTTGGTTTGCATATGAATTTAATAGGTTGTGAATTTGAGAGATTAACCCAGATTTAAGAGACTTATCCGAGTTCATTTCCTCTTCCTTTTCTCTTTTAACTTCGTGTTTTTTTTTAGTTTCATTCTTAGACATTTGATTTAATTAGAGATCGAACTTCATTATTTTTTTATTTAATTCCTATAGTTTTTTTACTAATTTTAAAAATAACTCGAGTTATCTAGAGTCTTTTTTATTATTTTATTATTTATTAAATTTAACTTTTTCTATAAAGATAAAATTTGATTTTTAATTAAATTAAATTAGTTGCTCAAATATAAACATGATATATTCATTTCATGAAATTTTGTTTGGTTTGCCTTTGTGGTCATTACTCAAAAAACACATGCAAACTCTTTTGTTGTCGACATATAACCTTTTACAATGATATTACAACTATCTTGGTAAGCTTCTTTGGGTAGTGAGCATATGTTCACAATGAATTTTTTTTTTCTCCCGATTATGATATTGGTGACTCAATATTTTAAAAGTATTTTATCTAATATGCAATAAGTTTTTTACTTTCTAGCATTTTATATTTTTTAAAATATATAAAAAAGTCTAACTCATGACATAACACGGGTCAATAATTTAGTGAGGATGCTAATAATGAGGTGCTTAAAAGTATGGTAGTAATTGTTTTTTAAAAGTATTTTTAGTTTAAAAATGCATCAAAATAATATTTTTTATTTTTAAAAAATTATTTTTAATATCAGCACATCAAAATGATATGAAAAACACTATTTTTTAATTTAAAGCAGAAGAAAAAAATAAATAAAAATTTTAATTTTTTTTAAAAACAATTTTGAAACATAAAAATACATAAACCTCAAATTAAGTTAAAAATAGCTGATATCCTAACATAAATTAAAAAATTTTACATGACTCAATAATTTCAAGTCATGAAACAGAGGAAGATGAGCCAAATTATGTGTTTTAACTATTATGGTGAATTCCTTGGCCTAAAATTAAATAGAAATGTCTTCTTCTGGACTTGTTGGAAGGAACAATACAAAATTTGATATGTTGAGAAATTGCCATACGTAATTGGTTTATCATCTAAAATAGTTATATTGGTTTCTGTTGACGAAGAACTGATGGAGGGAGGGAGGACGAATCATGGCATCTCTCCACCTGGGAGATGCATGCTGCCCTAAAACACCATTCCTCCACGAAAAAAAGAGAAGAAAAAACCGAGGCCTTGCCAACCACTTGAACTTATTGTGGGTCCAAAAGCCATTAAACCCACGTTCTGGCAGGGAAAGGGGGAGTAGTGGAGATCACTTCTCCAAGAAATAAGAAAAAATGAAAAGCAGAAAATACAATCACCACCCCATTTCTAGGCTAGAGCTTGCCCAAAGCACTAGACAGGGTTTCATACTTTTCTCCAGTTGGCAATCACTTTCACAGGAAGAGAAAATTACAAGACAACCGTACAAAGTAGCTCCATGTTCTACACCCACACACACACACTCTTGAGAAAAAGTTACAAAAGCTCCATGCCCCCCAACAACTGAACAGTAAATAATACATCTGATGAGAGACAGGCTTGCTTGAAGATGGAACAACATCATCTTATAGCAAAATCACCTTCTAATAATTAGCCAGCTAGCTTTACAATTAATGGCCTATGCCCCCTCCCCATCCCCAATAAAATTAGACCACACTTGGCTCTAAGGATCCCCTCCTCACAGACACTGCTCCCCTTTCCCAACACAACAACAGCCCACACTCACTCATACGGTAGTGCACTTACGTACACACACACACAGTCACTTGTTTACTAAATGGTTCAGACACAGCTTGATCCGTGTCCCATGTTTCTCCTCATCTCTGTCACTCACTGCCCATGTTTCCTTTTGGTTTCTGCTAACTCAGTGATCAGCAGTAAGTACTAGAGTAGTAGCGATATTGTTAGTGGCCAGTACTAGTGGTAGTAGAAATTGAAGTGGTGGTGGTGGATATGAATAGTGGTGGTGCAGCAGGGGTTGGGGTTGAAGGTGGGGGTGGTGGAGCAGCGGGGATAGCAGCTGGGGGAATGGGGACAGGAGTGATGACAATGAGGTCACCATTTACAGTGTCACAGTGGCAAGAACTGGAACATCAAGCTTTGATCTATAAGTACATGGTGGCAGGTCTGCCTGTTCCACCTGATCTTGTGCTCCCTATTCAGAGGAGCTTTGAGTCCATTTCTCATAGATTCTTCCACCATCCCACCAGTAAGCCAGCTTTGTAGATTCTTACACACACATATTTACATTTATCTGTGTGTACCCTCACTTCTTTTTATTGTTTGCTGATTTAGTGTCTTCATTGGATTTTTCTTGATTTGATTAGGGGGTCGTGTTGAGTTTAGAGCTCTTTTCCTTTTCCATTTTTTTTTTGTTTTTCTTTTTTCAATTTTATACATTTTCGTTTTTGGATAAGCACTTTCAAGTTTACATGTGTTATGCTGTTTTCTTGATTATCATTGAGAAGCATTTCCTTTATTATCAAGTATTATTTTGATAAATATAATTTTTTTCCTGTATCCTCCTTGTGATCTGGTAGATATGGATTGTAAAAATTCCAAAGATGGGCTTTTCTTTTCTATTGATTTGAAATCTGCCTGAACTTCTGTTTTTGTTTTGTTTTACTGCTTGTTTTCAATCTTCCCAAAAAGCATAAACCACCCTTTTTACACCTGAAATTTATTTATTTTGAATCACAGTTGGGGTTTGTGGCTTTCTACTTATTTGATCAATATATCAGCTTTCAAGGGCAAAAGATTTGTCATTTTTCCAATTCTGCAGAATTTCTCAAAGAAATAATAATTTTAATGCCAATCTTCTACTGGTTTTGTACACTGTATTAATATAAACTTTTCTTGCCATGGCCCTGCTACTTTCTCCAAGGATTTTATACTTTATTTATTCAAGGTATTTGATACCATTATTTTTCTAATTGTTGACATCAGAAGATGTTTTCAACTGATTTGATTCTCTCTTCAGTATTTCTTTAGTCGTGTGATATGGTTATTGTATTGATTATGAAATGCCATATCACTTTTTTATACCAATTTCTGACACTGCTGATTGTAAAGGTTTTACCATTCTTAATATAATGAACTATCATGTTCTCATTGTTCACAACGTTCAATATTATATTACATGTGGCATTGTGTGTCTCTCATGCTTGTCTTATTGATGATACGAAGTTGCTAGTTTTGGATTTGGATAACATTTTCAGTATGATTCTGTAGTGAGCTATTGCACTTTCTATGGCAAGAAGGTGGATCCGGAACCAGGTCGATGCAGGAGGACTGACGGCAAGAAGTGGAGGTGCTCTAAAGATGCCTACCCAGACTCCAAGTACTGTGAGCGCCACATGCACCGTGGCCGCAACCGTTCAAGAAAGCCTGTGGAATCACAAACCATGACACAGTCATCGTCCACCGTGACATCACTGACTGTTACAGGAAGCAGCAGTGGAACTGGAAGCTTCCAGAACCTTCCATTGCACACATATAGCAATCCCCAGGGCACTGCTTCTGGAACTAACCAATCATATTATCATATGAACTCTGTTCCCTACGGAATCCCAACCAAAGATTACAGGTATCATTGATCTTTTATTAATTGATTATGCCCTTTTTGGATGCTTTTAGACCTGGAGATTGAATAAGAGACTCTGAGATGAGATAACAAAGATGATTCACTGAGTTTATTCAAGCATGCAAGGTCATGTTTTTCATATCATAAGAGTAATCAGTATTTAGGAAATGAAAAGAATTTGATCCAAATATATGCTTTACTCTATAGATTTTGGTTTTTATGCGTACCACATTTCCTGTTGGAAGGTAGATTGTGGATTATGGTAATCTGGTTGGTGAAATGTTTCAAAAACATTTAATGTTTCTGTTGGGCTCCGACTTCTGGATCCTGTTGTCCACTGGGATGGAGAGGAAATACTGTCAGAAATGAATGTATTTTTGTTTGTCAGTCTTCATCTTCCTTTGGTCTGTTACTTTACATTCTGTATCTCAGAAAAATAATCCAACAACTCTGACAGCCTTTAGAAATTGTCTTCAGCTTATCACTGGGCATAAATTTCACTCTCTGGATGATAAGATGGCTGAGAGACGAAGGGTTAGCTTGGTAATTTTGCAGATATTTTATGCTCAAGGATTGCTTGAAATTTTTAGAGTATAGAGAGTTGTCAGTTTCTACCTAAATTTGGGTGGTTCTGAAGATAGTTCTACAGGGCTCAGTCTTTATTTATGTTTTTATATATACATATATATAAACCTTTAACCTCTTCATGCAAAACAACAGACTTTCTGCCTAATGATTGGAGCTTGTAATTCAATCCTGCGTGTAAGTATGCAATATGTGTGGATTTCATTGCTAGGCGCTTTATGTTCTTTTTTCGCATTCAGACATGTTTCCCTGTGAAATTGGGAAAGCTTTATCTGTTTGACTGTTTACAGAAAATGTATGTTGGGCCCATTGATAAATTGCGTGGTAGGAATTGTATGGAAGACTTGTGATCCAGGTAATGGATGTGCTGCATAAACTGGGCCCTGATGTCTGTAAGAACAGCCGTCAAAATCTGCTTTTTACAGAGTGTCAAGAGTCTTTGCTTTAGGCCTGTTTCTTGGCTTTCTGTGTTTGCTGTTAAGTTTGTTGTGGAATTCTGACAAGCACCCTGAATTGTCTTGAGCATGCAAATTTTTGGCATCTTATTAACCCTCTCAAGTTTCTGTCGAAAGGGTAAAAAGATAGAAGGGGTCTTCTGGGTTCTGCAGAAATTAATGTTAGACTGGCTAGCTGCCTGGGATCTTCTGAGAAAAAGTGGGGTGGGCACTTTACAATTTTATCCTGCATATGTATCCTTGAAGACATCTGTGAATGTACTCTCTTTACTATCTGCCAATAACATGTTACCCCCCCTTGTGATAAGCTTTTTTCTTCTGTCTAGGTGCTGTCTCTTGTTTTTTTCTCTGTTACTCTATTTTTCCTTTTGATCTGAAAGAATTTTCTTTTTAAATTTAACAAAAACAATAAACTATTATTGTCAACTGTCGATTTGAATTTTGAACCCTTTGTATATTAGCCACCTCATTTTTCAACCTGAAAGAGATTGACATGTTCCTCTCCAGTACAACACAATTCTATGCATCAGCATGGAGCTTCTCCCATGCTTTTCTCTTTGTTGACCATAGTTTACTCACTTGAAGCTTTTGTGCTAGTCAAGCTGCAAAAGCGGGTCTCACAATGTAATGATGTAAATACTTTGAGCTGTTGAAATTGTCTGGCTGCTGGATATGAGCATACCTGAAATTTAGATGAATGTAATAGTGTCATGACATCTTAGCATGCTGCTATTCGTATTTGGATCCCAAAATTTGTTTATTTCCTAGCTCCTGTTGTTTTCCTTCTAATCGTATCCCCCCTCTGCAGCCTCCTGAACCATCCCATGGCTGGTTCCTGACATGCGTAAGAAAAGTCTCCTTTCATTTTATTGTGTCACATTAATTAGGGGTCCCCCTGAAAACAAATCAATCATCTAAATCCCACACTGAATTTAGACGAGGATGTGGCTAAAGAAACAGGACTATAGTTGCAATTCTATTATTATCCGTACAAAGAACATGTGATTTTTTTTTTTATTTTTTTTTTGTGAGATGTTGAATGCCTTGTAGCTAGACCAATATTGTCATAGGTGATTGACACCTCTTCTACCAGCATTGCTGACTCTCTTCGTGATTTAGTTATTCTCGGGAAACTGTTTTCTGGGTTCAAAATGGATATTAAAAGAAGATTTCTATTGAGTTCGTAATATTAATGCCAAAATAGGTATCTTCAAGGACTTAAGCCTGAAGGTGGGGAGCATAGCTTCTTGTCTGAAGCCTCAGGAAGCAACAAGGGTCTTCAGATAGAGTCACAGCTGGACAGTGCATGGTCTTTGATGCAATCCAGAGTCTCATCATTCCCCACAGAGAAATCAACTGAAAACTCGACGTTGCAAAATAATCATCCCCAGCATTCATTTTTCAGTAGTGATTTCACCACCAGGGAATCTGTGAAACAGGATGGGCAGTCTCTTCGACCCTTCTTTGATGAGTGGCCTCAAAACCGAGACGCCTGGTCTGGCCTCGAGAATGATAGTTCCAACCAGACCTCATTCTCCACAACGCAGCTGTCGATATCCATTCCAATGGCCTCATCTGACTTCTCCACAAGTTGTCGTTCTCCACGAGGTGAGCTTTTCTTAGGTGATGTTGGTGATGTTTGACATGACCATATGTGTTCGAGTGTTGGTGATGTTTGACATGACCATATGTGCTCGAGTAAAAAAAATATATTATTTTGATGTATTTTTCAAAACCATACTATAAAAAGTAATCTTAAAAGTTGATCATATATAATTCCATGTAATGTTCATCTTTATCTAACTCAAGGCCTGGATATTTGGCTGCAGATAACTGAGAGGACACTAAGAATTCACAAAACAAAGCCAAAGGTGGTCCTGGCCAAAGATTAACACATACTTGTGTTAAATTTTTGTTGGTTTTCTGCATTAATGTGTTGTGTAACGTCTGCTGCATTTGCAATCACAAAGTTTTAATTGCGGATATAAAACAAACTCAGACAGGTGATTTGAGAGACGGGGAGCATTGTGGGTGGCTGTAGTGAATCAAGGGTAGCAGTTTTTTCAGCTTGGTTTTGATAGACGTTCTCCTTGGTACACTGAATAAAGCTGCTCCATTTATGTAACTAACAGCTTTTGTAATCCTGATATCGCTGCCTTCATTATCTATCTCTATCCTTAACTCCTAGGGTGGCAACTGGCAAGATTTGTTCAGATTTAAGGGCAATGTTGCATCAGAATCAAGCATAGAAACAAAACCAAGCCTGTCATGACTTGGCAGGGTTTTAAATGTTAAAAATCTGGACTTGTAATTATTCTGGTTAAACTGGGATGATTTATCATGGCAATTCAAAAACTGAGTGATTCGGCGAAACCAGAGTGAGGCTTATATATATACATGAAATGTATCTTAATTTTTCTAAACTATATATAATCTGTATTTACATAAAATGTTTTTCTATGAAGAGTACTAAAATTTTAAATTTTTTTTTTAAATTTTTTCTTAGAATATCCTTTAACTGAATCAACCGCCAGACTGAGTTTTTTGGCTATAGAATTAAGGATGCAAGTGGTGCATTTGCACCAGAATATATTATGTGTATATTTGGTGCTGTGTGATAGTTTTTGTAATTATAATTTTAAAAAATAGTTTTAATTACTGTTTTAAAAAAATATATTTAGTCAAAACTATTTTAGGTTGAATTTTTGCATGTAAAGTATATAAAAAATATGAAAAGTAACTTTTTTTTTTAATTTATATAAAACCAAGGTTTATAAATGAACACAATATAAAAAATAAAAGTTATTTAACTAAGTAAATTTAAATAATTTTCTTACTGTGAGATAAAAAAATCACAAATTATTGCAACGCCAAACATGACTTACAATAATAATAATAAAAAAAAAAAACAAGAAATGTTGATTAAACTGTCAACGCCAAACATGACTTACAATAATAATTAAAAAAAAAAGAGAAGAAATGTTGATTAAACTATAGCTGCCATCTTTATACATGTTAACAATTACTCATGTTTCAAGCAAAGTCGTACTACGAGTTAATTATTTATTTTTCCCTTGCATAATCGAGAATATCGAGCAATTTATCTTGAATTTTTCTATTATTTATACATTAAGCAGGCCGTAGATTATCTGCAGAGGAGATTAATTAACTTATAAACAAAAATGTAATTTGCAGGAAAAATAATAAAGTTTTTTAGGGATATTTGGCTGTTCCTTGCATGGATAAAAAATTAATTATATTATTATATTATAATAATATACACTGAGATATTAGAACTTATATCATGTTATTGACTTCTTAATGAAATGATATATTATCTATAAAGTGATATATTACTTTCTGAGATATATTGAATATATTTGAGAAAAAACACAGTATTTCAGCATGGGATGATTTAATTCAATTGGAGGAGTGTTATAATTTAAATCCAAAAACAAAATAGAAAAGAAAATGTGGGCGAGCGTGCTCATTGGGAAAAGGGAGAGAAGTGACGTCAACGTCGGGAGTGCAGAGATAAGGGGCCCACACCAAACGACAGCTAGCTATTTAGGGTATCTAATCATCACTCACGTGGTCGGGTCACTGTCTCTCTCTCTTTCCCCCCTGCCCTGCCCTCCCATTTTTACTTTTCTTTTCTTACTTTTACCGTGCATACCCTCAACTACGACATCAACAAACAAACAAAAACCTAATTTAAAAAATTGATTTAACAGTCCTATTGTTGTTTTGAATTAAAGATTCAATATTCATATTCAGCGAATTTATTTTTAAATATATGTAATCAATCCAGACTTGTATCTGAATGACATGTTTATTTTTATATTTTAAAAAATTTAAAAAATTTAATTTTTTTTATTTTTTCTTGTTTTTTAAAATTTTTTTATCTTTTTAATGTGTTAATATCAAAATTAATTTTTTTAAAATTAAAAAAATATCATTTTATTGTACCCACAAATAAAAACATTTTAAAAAATAATTGTTATCACAATACTAAACAGCATATAGAAACATTTTAAAAAATAATTGTTATCACAATATTAAACAGCATCTAGGTATAATAAAGACTGCATTTCAAGGTATTTTTTTATAATATATTTAAAAAATATTTTTTCAATTGTAAATTTATTTTTTATATTAATATATTCTAAAAATACCAAAAAATAATTAAATTTTAAATAAACAATATTTTAACCGTATTACTTAACATCCATGAAAGCAAGCCTAATTATTACTTAACATCCATGAAAGCAAGCCTCCATGAAAGCAAGCCTACTCAAATTGATATATTTAAAGAATTTTAAGAATATCACTCCATTTTGAATACTTTACATGATTTCTATTGGTCCCAAAAAACATCATAATTTTTTTTTTTTGAAATAAAATGCAGCTCGTCTCAGAGTTCCAACATGGCTTGCATGCGCTTACAGAGTCTGAGCAAAATCAATTCAATACACCACTTTATTTACCGCCACTTGCTAGTATACTTTTTGACTTTAAATTTTACCCAGTGATGGTAAATTAGCTGGCATTTGCAGAAGGGAAGAAGTGAGAGGTACATCACTATTATTATTATTATTATTATTATTATTACTATTATAGAGACTCTTTCCACTTGCTTTTGAGCTTGACAAGGAGATCACGAGAGGCAGCAAAGACAAGCCAGCCTCCACCTGACATCTTGCACTTGCAGGACATCATTCATCCTGATTTATATATAAATGCAAGACACATTTTATGTAGATAGATTTTAATAGTAAAATGTTTATTTTGAAATAAAATGATCTTTTTAATCTTTTTAGTATTAAAACTAGGGTTTAAAGATTTTTCAGCCTTTTAACACTTTGATTGCATAGTAATGAATTCATTATCATTAAAATAAATTTAAAACTAACTTTCAAGGGATTCTTTGTCCTTTATTTTTTATTTCTAGTTATTATTAATTTGAATAAGGAGGAGTTTAATCTTTAAAAAAATAAAAATATGATTAAAAAAAATAAAAATACATATATGCTAACGAGTGAGGCATCTCTGCTATTTAGAGAAGGTGCGTGGTGCTTCCCAACAATCAAATGCCACCAATAGTTTTTAAAGTATCACATTATTCTCTTCTTAATGGTTAAACATGTGCACAAAAATCCGCAATTAACCTCTGGTGAATTATTTTTTTTATCATCTTGAATTTTAGCTAACCCTAAATAAAATATGTCTTGTCAATTTATATTTGTAAATTTATTACTTATTTTTTTAATTGCTATTTATTTTATTTTTAATAATTTTTTAAGTTGATTTTTTTTATTGTGCTTGTCATCATCTCATTTCATTTTTTTTTAATTTGGTATTTATTTTTTTATTACTATTTTTTTGTGATTTTTTTTCTAATCTTATCCCTCAATATTTTATTTTATTTAATTTTTGCATCTAATTTTGTGCTCATTATATTTATTGTTATTTTTAATCATTTACTTGATTTATTTTACTTTTCAATTTAGATTTTCATTATTTTCTTTCATTTAATTTTTATAATAGATTTGATCCTCATTATTTAGATTGCTTATTTATTTTGTTTTTTAATTTTGAATGATTATGAATTTTGCTTTGTTTTTATTTCATGTTTACCTTTTAAGAGGTCATCTTGATTTTATGACCTAGGTGATGAATTTTGAGCATTAGCCTAATTTAACTTTAGTTTTTTATGTATATTTTTAAATATTTTTTTTTAATTTCATTATTTAACATTAGGTTATTGAGTTGTTATTTTTTCTACTTTTGTTTTTATATGTGGTTTTCAATATCTTAGTAGTCAAGTGAACTTAGATTAATTTGAGTTTGTTTGCCATATTTTTTATTTTTTTAATTTATATTTTATTATTTAGTTTGTCTGAAAGTTAATCTTCATTGTTTTTTTTTTTTGTGAGATTATCCCAGTCTTATGATCAGGCCGTGAAATTGACCTACTAACTTAAATAAGGTTTTTTTTTTGTTTTTTTTAAATGATTATTTTTCCAATTCTATCTTTTAATGTTTGCTTTACTAGTAATTGATCTTTATATTTTTTTTCATTTTACTTTATGAAATTATTTCATTCTTATTTAATTTTTTATTTGTTATACAATAAGATTATTAAGATATTTTAAGAATGTTTAGAAAGTATCTTTTTATAATATTAACAAACATTTATTTTTTTTCAATTAGTCATTGGTGTTTTTTTTCTTGATTTTTTTTGTATTGTTGTTCACTTTCTTTAATCATATCATTAAATTAACCAAAGTTATTCAACTCATTCAAATCAAAGAAATGGGTCTTGAATTTTTCTTATTCCTTTAAAAATATTATCATCAACTAAATATAATTAATTTTTACATTAAATTTTTTTAATTTGATTTACAATATAACACAAATCACCTATCTAACTCATAAACTACTCTCTTCCACATGTTAATTATCTTCCATTTAATAAAAGAGAAATGCAAATAGACCATGGACCACTAGTCTAGTATAACATCTCCCTCAAATCTTCATATTTACTCATATTTTTCTATTTACCAAGAAAAAGAAATATGTACATTCTTAAATAATAATAATAATAATAAGAGAACATATAGCTAAAATTTACATTATTGATTTTGATTCGGTGAAAATTCTCACACTTCTTAAAATCTCTTTTGTAGCATGCTTGATGGAAAAAGCATATAAAACAAAACAAATAATAATTACAAGAATAAGAATCAAATTTAATATAAAAATAAAATGAGATAAAATATCAAGAGATGCAATTTAAAAATAAATTCAATGAAGAAAATAATTAAAAATAAAAAATAGAAATCAAAAGAATAAGAATCAAATTTGACAAATAAAATAAATAATAATAAGAATCAAATTTGACAAATAAAATAAATAATAATAAAAATAATAAAGATCAAATTTGAAAGAAAAATAAATTGAAGGAATGCTTTGAAAATTTGCAAGACAATGAACAAAAATTAAGTTGGAGAGATAAAAAAGAAAAAAACAATGTATCATCAATGCTAAACGGGAGGTCCATTAGTCACACGAGCTGTGCAAGGATAGAAAGGTTGTCGTAACAATTCATGCACCGTCATGAAAACTAGTGTTTGATCGTTATATAAAGTTTCAACTGCTAACTAAAAAATGCTAACGTAACCATATATATTTGTAGAGGTAACACCTGTCATTCATTTTT